TATTATTCGATAACAAACAGATATCGAGATAACAGGGACATTAAACCTTCTCCATTTACTGTACCTTGTTCTAGACTATGCTTACTACTTACATATTATATTTTAAATATAATTCAAAACACTTTCCTTAACTACCTTAACCATTTGCGATTAGTTAAATTTTAGTTTTTTATTTTGTATATACATTTAAACATGTTAATTTAATGTTTAACATTAAAAAATAGATTTCTAAATAAAACACTTTTAACCGATTCAAATAAAGATGCAGACAGTGCCCTTAACATACGTAGTTATTTACAAGGCAATTTAGTTTGCGTATTAACGTGTACAATTATTTATTTAATTACCATTCGTCAAAATTAAATTAATTGATATTTTCAAGATCTTACATATCTATTATTTATATTTATACGAATTAAAATTGTACTTGGCAGATCTAAGATCTTTTTTGTATATATACAAACTAATATACATAAAAAATATTTACACTGACCCACAGTGGGACAAACTAAAATGAATTAAACGTTTTGCCGTCGGAACCGTGTTTGCGGCCTACGAAAATAGATTATGAAAGCTAGCATTTCACGTAGAATGGGTTCTGAACAATGTAAAGTATAGTTTAAAATTCGAAATATTTTAGATAAATACTGTCTGTAGTTTACGCGAGTAGTACGCATTTAAATAAAACACTTCAACGGATTCAAACGCAATGTATTTTAATTAGACTTGTGTACAAATTATTTTTTAATTTTAAAGTGTTTTTTAAATACTGAGATAACTGCCTGAACTGCGACCACGGCTGCTGCAAAGCACCCATAATGTTAACCGTTAAAATTATTAATTATGTGTAAAGTATAGACAATACTCGTACCTACTTACATTTTAAGATGTAATATTAATATCAATATCATTATTGTATTACCATCTTTTTTAAACCTTTATCATCAGAAAGAAGTATTGCACATTTTTCTATATTGTGCGTAATTTTGGCTTTAACAGTAGTCAGTTCTTTGTATATGTACCTCCATTGTATATCAATTATAACGATTTCGTTATAATTATGATTTGAGGATATAGGTAGATATTTATCTCCCTATATCCTCAATACACTTTCAAACCGCATAGCTTAAACTTTTTGACGAGGTCAAAAGCTAGTTCACGAATCTTTAACTGTGTACACCACGACGCCTCGGTTAGATTTGAAAGACCGGTCTATACTGTTCTGTATACTAATAATTTATTGCCAATTTAAACTAGTCCAGTAGTGTACAGGGGGACAAAAGCTGTAAAATACTGTTTAATTGAGGAAAATTAAAATACCTCAGCTAACATCTAAACACGTGAAATACCTATGAATAAGGCAGTCTAAATAAAAAATTAAAATTGCAATCATTAACATTAATTATTTGAAAAATGCAAGGTAATGCATATATTTTATTTATGCGAAGAAGTACACCGCATTAAAGAATTAAATCCAACACAAATAATTACTGACCCTTTCAGTATTTACTTAGATGTGTGCTCCGTCCGTTTAACAATGCGTACGGAAAACGCACTTTATATTGTTAACTAGATCTGCCAGCGACTTCGTCCGCATTTTCCACCTGTTTCTTCGCTTCTAATAATCACAGCGAGATGTTTACCAACCTAAAGCCTTTCTCGTTAAATGCTCTAACCAACAGAAATATATTATCAATTCAAACCAGTAGTTCCCAAGATTAGCGAGTTCAAACAAACAAGCTCTCAGCTTTATAATATTTGTAAAGACTCCATGTTAGTTAAAGGTTAATATTCTACTAGTGTACATTTAATGCAACTGTAATGGGTATTGATTTTAAATAAAACACTTCAACGATTAAAACGCGATATATATTGGTTGAACTTATTTAAAAATTATTTTAACTGCGGTGCGACGTTTCGGATGCTTTGCAGGAGCCGTGGTCACGGGGAGACTGTATATCACGATATATATCGGGTTTTAAACCGTTAAAGTGTTTCAGTGTATACTACTCGCGTAAACTATAGACAGTATTTGTAAATCGCGTTTATCGGTACTCTATAAAGAAATCAATGTAAAATGTCAATCAAATAACTTGAAAAGACTTCATGAAGTAGAAAATCCTATTAACGGGTTAAAACTCATTCCTAACACGATCAAAGTTCTACGAAATAAAGTCTTAAAGCCTGCGAAAAAAAAATTCACTTAACATCGTCGAGAACAGTTGAAACGATACAAAACGTCAGATTTTTAATAATCCCATTGGTTCAGTCTGTCAACCCGTTCTTTTGTGATGGGGCGGCCACACTGTGGGGCGCCCGAAGATCATGTTCAGATTAGATGGTTATCCAAGGAATGACATTGTTTAACAATCCCAGGTAAACCCGGGCGTGCTCTATATAGATGTGCTCTAGACAATACGCGGCTGTTTTCGGATAATGCGATTATCCCGTAATCCGGAAAAACAGTTTTTGAATCCGGTTTTTTGTTCATATAACTGATAGTTTGTATTATCTTGTTTGTTCATATCAGAGCGATTCACTTAACGGTAAAATATAACTCAACAAGATGCGCAGTCAATGTATATGTAGGCTTTGGATATTCCAAATCCATAGACTGTAATCGAATGCGATTCAACTTCACGGCCTGTTATCTGTGGACGGCGGTTCGTAACGCGGACGGAATTTCGATTTCCTACCATTTAATATTCAGAATTCCAAACGAAGTAGAATGTGTTTCATAAAAACTAGATATAAATCGATGTTGAATTTATAGTCATACACTGCTACTATTAGACTAAGAAGCCCGTCATAGGTCGCCCGTTGTGAGCACTAAAGCACTACACGCATCTTTTGTTTACAACATAGTAAGCTAAGCTATTCGCTCCATATAACTTACTAGGTACTTATTACTTAGATTATGTAGTGTATTTTAGCTTAGCTACAAGCTAAATATCTTCGTATTGGATCCATCAATTTTCAAATTTAAGCGCCACTAAAATTTGTAGGAACAATTATTATTATAAATTTGTCGTTTTGAAAAATACCGTTACCCCCAGTGTGCCATGGCGCGAACACATTTTGTAACCATTTAAATAAAACACTTTAACGGTTTAAAACGCGATATATTAGTTAAACTTATTTGAAAATGATTTTTAACTTCGGCCCGACGTTTCGAATGCTTTGCAGCAGCCGTGGTCACGGGGAGATAAATTTAACTAATATATCGCGTTTTAAACCGTTAAAGTGTCTTATTTAAATGTGTACTACTCGCGTAAACTATAGACAGTATTTACATTTTGTAACCGCTCCACTGGTCGGTTTAATTTACAAGTTGTTGATCCGTACTGCCCTGCCTAACCGAGACAATCTATTGTTTCCCCGGGATTCAAACCCAGGACCTTCCGCGCTTTATGCGATGCTGGGCCACACGCTTAACCATTTAAATACAGAGGCGGTCATAGATTTATCGTATAAGGAACTAAATGATAGTGTAGTTATAATATCCAAAGCCTAAAAAGGTCGATAGCGCATCTTATTTAGTTGCTATAGGCCTTTTTTACCTACTATCAAGTGAACCACATGCGTGTCTGTCCTTTTTTATCATTAAAAAAAACTTAGCATGAGCTACATATTCAAATTTCACTCTAATAATAACGTTATAGATTTCAATTAATGGTTTCAAGCAATAAGTTATATTTTTTTTCGGTTTTAAAATCTTTTTAAACAAAGTCTCTCATCTTTTAGGGTCTTATCGACCTAGATGGACCTACCTATAAATAACACTAGCTGAGTCAGCGACTTCGCCCGCGAGAATCGTTATTTTGCGCATCAAAATTCGTTTTTGCAAACCCCTTCACCTTTATAAACAAAAGCTGTTACCCACTACGTGGGTCGCGTCCTTTCCCGTCGTTCTTGTAAGTCAATCTTAAAAAATATACATAGCGTGGCGGATTTTTTTTAGATCATTTAAAGTTCTCTCCTACATTTTTTTGGGTATCTCGTAAACCGTTTTTGCAGCGTACGCCTCGGAAAACCATAATAATGAATCATTTTCCCAAATTTGTTCACATTTCCCACTGTAGCTTCGCTTGTATTAGTCACAGGGCGCTGCTTTATAGCCTATATGTTAGCCTTTCTCGATAAATGCTCTAACCAACACAAAAATATTTTTTCAATTCGAATTCGAATCAAACCCGTTATTCCTGAGATTAGCGAGTTCAAACAAACTAAATACTGTCTATAGTTTACGCGAGTAGTACACATTTAAGTAAAACACTTTAACGGTTTAAAACGCGATATATTAGTTAAACTTATTTGAAAATGATTTTTAACTTCCGCATCCGAAACGTCGGGCCGAAGTTAAAAATCATTTTCAAATAAGTTTAACTAATATATCGCGTTTTAAACCGTTAAAGTGTTTTATTTAAACAAACAAACTCTTCAGCTTTATATATTAGTATGGATAAATATCGTCTACCTATCCTAAGCTCATAAAAATCTAACTTTATGCATACCTGGCACTAAATTAAAGCAGTCAACTAAAGTCTAATAGGGTCTAGTTTTTACAATTCATAAAAGTACGTTTAATAAAAGGACAGAGTCTAACAAATAAACTAAAATTAAATATACACGAGCACAATTGGAATTTTTGTCTCAGGCATATAAAAATGTCCTATAAATTTACCCACACTTTAATTTAATGTCCAAAAGTGGCTGGCTCACTTTTTTTTATTATAAATAAACGGACGCCGGCTCTGGGTGCCTCAGTGTGCGTTATTATTTTGAGAAATGGCTTTGAATTTGTCTCGGGATCACCTTGCGTTGGGCCTTTTATTTCTTGTTTCGAGGTTCACTTAGATTATGAATACAATGAGATACATTGAGAGATGATATTTTAACTGGCTAGAGAAATCACGTTATTGGAATTCGTTTATCTCAAGTAAACTAAACAGTTCAAATTACAGTTGTGTCAATAACGCATAAAATAGCAAGGAATTTTCATGTTTCCACACAAAAAAGTGTGTAGGTATATTATCTATGTATTTCTATTACGAAATTATAATTACATATTATTTAAAATAATAAACATAATACAACGGTAGAGATTGTTTGTTTGAACGTGCTAATCTCAGGTCTTGATCTCTACTGGTTCAAATAAAAAAAAATACAATTTACAAAGATGATAGGTTTGCGAAAACAAATTTTGAGGCCCAGATCACTATTCTACGCGGAGGAAGTCACAGGCACAGCTATTTTTATATGACTACTCTAGAAAAGTAAAAATATACATTAATTTCTTCATGCTTGCAGGTAAAATGGCGCATTAGATATTGCGAAGACTTTTCGAAAACTGAAGAGAGTGTGAGATATTTTGAGATTACTAAGTCGACAGCAGCGGGTGGGCCCGCCGCGTGGATGGTGGCGGGCGAATGGGGCTATGCGCCGGTGTCGGGCACACCCGCCATGAACGCTTTCCTGGAGACAAACCACGCACACCTCGCGTCCTACGGCCTGAAGATGTCGCCAGAACCGTCCTGCGGTGTTGCCGCGCAGCACCGCGCCGCCGCACCGCACCCGCCTCCTCCTCATCACCCACCCCACTACCAACACTACCCACTGCATTCCTACCAACCGGGCTACTTACGAGAGTACGGTGGATGCGGAGAACTATTCCCCCAACAGCCCATAGAACAGAGCTGGGACTGGCGCAGCGATGTACATTACCAGGGGGGTGCGCCCCCCTTGATGCCTCACGCACACCCACACACACCGCACGCGTTCCTTCGATACGTCCGAGCACCCCCCAGACGGGATATGCGATGTCAATGGCTGGATCCAGAGCAGCCCCCTCCAAGGAAACTGTGCAACAAGTTATTTTCAAGCATGCATGAGATTGTGACCCACCTAACCGTGGAGCATGTTGGCGGACCAGAATGTACGACGCATGCGTGCTTCTGGCAGGGCTGCTCGAGGAATGGGAGGCCGTTTAAGGCGAAATACAAGTTGGTGAACCACATCCGGGTGCACACCGGTGAAAAGCCTTTTCCGTGCCCGTTCCCTGGATGTGGCAAGGTGTTCGCGAGATCGGAAAACCTGAAGATACATAAAAGGACGCATACAGGTAAGATTTTCTTATATAACAGTTGTGGGAAATGCATGTTTTAATATGCATTATGTTAACTGATATTTAAAAATATATACATATATATATTTTTAAATATCACAATCAAATCAGTATTACAATACACTTGTCTACTTATATATACATAATATATTATCCCCTCTTATTTGAGAGATGGTTCAAAATCCACCACGCTGCTCCAACGCGGGTTTGTGAGATTTAAAGACTACTGCCACAAAACGAGTGACGTTAGCGATTTTAAATAAAACACCTCTATCGGTTTAAACTGTAAACTATAGCAGTAAACTTATTATGAATTTATATGAAGTACGTGTCGGATACTTTGCAGCAGACGTGATCACACGTGGTATATTTCGCATTTAAACAGTTAAAAGTGATTTATTGAATATACATTTTTTTTATTTTACTTTATTAGTTATAAACCACAACAGGACTTATTCTATGAACACAAAAAGAACTTATGATATCGCCCGAGACCCAAATCCAGGACGTTCTGGTCCAGGAGTCTACCACTAAACCAACGAGGCACTTGTGATCATCATAAATATCACGGCTATAAAAACAAACAGCGTTTAAAAGTTATGTCTATATTTTATAACTGTATCAAAGCTGTGGTACACTTGTAAAGAAATGGTTAGACATCGATTGAAAATTGGTAGTATTAGGTACAGTTAGGTGCATAATGGCAAAAGATTTTGTTTTTCTGTATTGTCAACTCGGACGCTTAGAATTGTTATATTTTTTTTTAAATCTATATGGGTTCCGTACCCAAAGTGTAAAAAACCCTATAATTATTAAACACTCTGTCTTCCACTAGGCTCCATTTAAAAATCCGCGATAGCAAGAAAGTTTCCGAAATTCAAAAATTTATCAAAGAATTTACAATAGACATATATTTTTAGTACCTGTTGATTGAGATTTTATTGGCGCTAAAAAACTATCAGTAATACGGACACAAAAATGTGTTCCATACATTACGAGGGGTAATGAGATCTTAAATGAAACACTTTAACGATTTGAAACGCGATATAATTAAGTTAAACTTATTTGAAAACTATTCACAAATAAGTATCACGGATATGTATCGCGTTTTGAACCGTTAAAGTGTTTTATTTACATTTTATAAACTTAGTGTTAAAGTGTATAGATTATCAGAAATGGTGTCTTCTTCTTGAGGAAGCGTCAAGTAAGATGTTATGGTATTACATAATGCACCATTTCATTTCTCATTAATTCGTAATGAAACACCCCCCGGGGCCGTCCGTGTGGTGGCACAGATGCGATATTTGCCACGCCTTGACAATAACTCTACACAATACCAAATATCAAAGAATCGAATGGGCAAAGACACTATAGCCTCGTCGACTTGTGAAGTCCGTTTCCCAGTACAATCCAATCGTTAACACGAAACGTTCGTTTGCGATTTATCGTCGAAGACACTTATTGTGTTAAATATGCGCCATAAATAAAAACGTCCAGTTCCGCTGATTCTTTTCCTCGTTCTCTTTCTTATATCGAAGGAATAGTCAAAGAATGGGATGGCACCATCTGCTTTTGTGTTTTTATTCCGTTGTTGCGCACGGACTTTTGTCCTGTGCCTCCGTCCACTATTATTTCTGGACGCCTTCTAACAGAGACCTTTTTGTGGTGAGTTTGGAGAATTGTTTTATGTACGGTCATAAATTTTAGAGTCATAGATCACAGTAGTGTTTCGAGTGTCCCAAATTGAGATGAGAATGCATCGCGTGATTCAATTAGAAATTGTTTGAAAACTTTAATATTTTTCACATGATGCACATGGTGGCGTTACCGTCTGTAGTTTACGCGAGTAGTCTCCCCATGACCACTGCAAGGCATCCAAACCGTCGGGCCGTAGTTAAAGTAATCAAATAAGCTTAAAATATATATCCCGTTTTAAACCGTTAAAGCATTAAACTGAATTAAAAACAGTATTAAGGTCAGTCAGTATGTTTATTTCAGAAAGAAATTGTTTATTCATTTATTTTGTCAACGAGTTACGTTACGCTGTCTTCAATCTACGGTATAAAGTAATTTTAAACACAAAAGAGAGTAAAACGAAGGCACATTTCAAATACTTTATTATTTGCTTAATAAATATATTGAATCCGTGTCAGGTGATGTTATCTGTGGGGAGACGGATCTGTGACGATGTTGGTCCTTCCGTGAAATTGATATTTTTATAAACGGGTTGAAATGTAACGTGATCACGCGTGTTTGGAAGTCAGTAGCTCAATTTATTTCCTATAGCTTAGCAGTTACATATCAATTGGTTTGAACGATACCGATCTGCGCAGTGGCTTATCGTTTTAATGATTTAGTAAAATCGCGATAGTCGACGAGATCTTAACGTACTGGTTGGCGTAATGGAAGCAATGTATAGCTAATAGTCAAGGGGTCCTAGTTTCGAACCCAACCGAGTCTAACATTTTTCTAATGAATTTATAATTTTCTGGAAATCTGGATATTAAATTGGTGGTGGGAAATTGGAATATCGAAATTACGTCCTAGTCACGAACCACCATCCACAGATACAAAATCTCGTGATCCCGTTTCGGTTACAGTCTGTAGATTTCCGAAAATCCAAAGCCAAAATAGGCCGACAGCGCACCCCGTTTAATTAAATGGAGTTGGGGTGTTTCACCTACCAACAAGTGAACTGGCTTGTCTGTCTTCCTATCATAAAAAAGGAAGATTTTTTAACAGTTCATCACTGTGACATTGTTATTTTATCTAACTTGTCTAATAACTTATGGATTATATGTAGGTATTTATTTATTTTCTTTTTCAACTAGCAATTTAATATTATTGTTATTTAAGAGGGGTACAAATTAAAAATAATATGATAATAATAATACTTTACTATTATAAACTTAAAAATTGTCTATAGTTTAATTGATAACTTAATTTTTACTTCCATAGGACAATGCTAGTATTTAAGATGGCGAAGTATTAAGTCTTCCTCCCAACTAGATATTAACACGTTACATTTAGTAATAATTAACAATAAATTTCGATGATGTCTAAGAATTGGTGCGATAAATGTCTAACCGGTTCCATCGGAATGTTAAAATATGCTTAACTGTTTCGTTCTATGTATTTAACTTCTCGAACCGCTCTAAAATCGATTTAATCCGTCGTTTAAGTCATTATTATTATTTTGTTACTTTAAACATTTTAAAACGCAAAAATCTTTCATAAAAATATATCGCGGAGTCAAACGGATTATAGTTCATGATAGATGGTTCATGTCTGAATGTATCCACTGTAGAGCTTGAACGATTGAACAGTTTGAATAGAACACTTTAACGGTTTAAAATGCGAATTAATTGAAACTTATTTACTAACTACGATACTAATTCCCCGTGACCACGGCTGCTGCAAAGCAACCAAAAACGTCGGCCGTAGTTAAAATACATTGTAAATGAGTTTAATTAATACAGTTCGCATTTTGACCCGTTAACAGTTGTATTTACATGTGTAGGAATCGCGAAAACTAAAGACAGTATTTTATTAAACGGTTACTGAAATAAACTATTTTATTTCGTTTTAATTAGTTATTTTTATTTAATTATTCAGATTTACTTGAAAACTTAACTTAATTAAAAATTACAATATGCAGAGCTATAACAGTTAAACACAGGTTACAATCTTTATAACTATTCTAGTTATAGTAATTTTCGCGACTCTTGCGCATCCGGTTTTATAAAGAAAAATGTTCCTACATTTTTAAAAGCACGATAATTTATTCTTGTCAAATAACCTATGGCGTTACTAATTGTGAGTTTAGCCGTTGGCAAGGTACGATGGTGGCCGAAAAACGCCGCCGGCTCGCGAACTCAAGTGACTAACACACCTTCATACAAATATTATCTTAATTTTATATTTTAAACAGTTAATCTTTCATTAAAATGTAAGATAAGCCAATTAATATACAAATTATTTTATTGCCAAGAATAAAAATGATGTCCACTTGGATTTGTTCACAATAAAATTATTATTTAAATAAAAGCACTTTTAACGGTTCACAACGCTCAAGTTAACTTGTACATTAGATATACCCTCCATCCATCCTCCTCTTTAAATAAGTTTACTATTACATTTCCCGTTTTAAACCGTTAAGTTGCTAAAAACTTTCCTGAATGTAAAGCTTAAGAGTGTGTTTGTTTGTTAAAACGCGCTAATCATGTTGGGACATTAGTCCAAACGTACTAGCTGAGTGAGTACTCCCTTTTCAGAGACAACTGTACTATTTAATTTTAACTGTATTTAGTCGTAAAACAGTATACATGTTTATAATTCTATAGTATGTTTGTAATATTAGTTTATTATTGTAAATTTATGTTGTTGTCTGAATAAACGTATTTCTATTCTATTCTATTCTAATCTCAGTAACTAGTGTTTCGAATTAAAGAATTATTTTGTGTTGGATGGATGATTTATTGAGGAATACTTTAAACTATAACATGAACGATAGGAGCAAAAGTTAAGGCTTTCATTGCGTGCGCTGCGATAACGGTTAAAGAAATCAAAAAAATATGAATCTTCCTTAAAGATCTAAAATATATAACTATTTTTATGATAAACTGTCAAGAACCGTTGCTATGGTAATCAGATGTGGTCAAATTTTTTATGATACAAAAGAATAGAGAAGCATGAGGTTTAATAGATAATTACCATAGTCATATAACATCTAAATAAGATGGGCTGTCGGCCTATATTTTAATATTTTAAGGGCACAGCTAGTATTTATATACAGTATAGTTGCGAGGAATATAAAAACAGAATCTTCCGCCTCATCAAATGGTAGCGAGGGGCGAAAGGACAATACTGTAACGATGATATGATTTCCAACGAAGACGACCCCCCTATCAAACGCAGTGCTTGGCTAATATGGCGTATGAAATTATGCTTTCAAAATATTTTGCAAACAATACGGAACCCTTCTGAACCTGCGGTTGTATTGTACGTTTCGTCGAGTACTGCACCGTTTTATTGAGTTTTATTAAAGACTAGCTGTGCCCGCGGCTTCATTCGCGTGGAATAGTTATTTTGGGCACAATATTATAGATTTTTACATAGCTCCTCAGCTGTAAATTTTAGCTTTTAACAAAGTCGTCCGTACTTGCCAATAAACTGTAAAAGATAGACATATACCTACTGTTGCCGACATATTTTTAGATCATCAAATGAATTATGTATGTAGCCTTCCTCGGTAAATTAAATACAAAAGTAATTTTTCAATTGGAACTAGTAGTTCCTGAGATTAACGCGTTTAAACAAACATACAGCTTTATAATTACTGTCTGTAGTTTACGCGAGTAGTACACATTTAAATAAAATACTTTAACGGTTTTAAAACGCGATATATTAGTTAAACTTATTTGAAAATGATTTTTAACTTCGGCCCGACGTTTCGGATGGCCGCAGCAGTCTCCCCGTGACCACGGCTGCTGCGAAGCATCCGAAACGTCGAGCCGAAGTTAAAAATCATTTTC